ACGCACACGCACGCACACGCACGCACACACAATATATATTTATACAAGGTGCCTCGGGATTTAGTGGGGCAACTTCTCTTTGCGGAAGCATTATATCTAACAAATATATATTATATATAATTAATTATTATAATATATATAATTTTGTTAGCCCAAAATTGTATGTACACCTCCGTTAAAAATAAACGAAATTTAAATTTAGGAAAAGGGTTTTAAAGCTTGAAATTTTTACTTTCAACAACTTACTATACTTTTTGAATTTATGTGAGTTTTGTATTTTTGACATATACAAAACTACAAGCTGAAAAAAATGAAAAAATTTTTTTTCACTTTGTAGGTCTGTTACGTGCCCAAAACACATTTGCGAAAATGTTCCACTATCTATCGTAGAAATTTAAAGTTTTCATTACAAAACTGTTTTTTTTTAAATATTCCTACAATTTTTTTTATTTTGAATTAAATAAAAAGAAGCAATCTGACTTTGATTGTTTATTAACGATAAAATATATTGTTTCCTCATTTTATTAAACACCTAATTTTTGTTGCTATGAAATTATGCTTATAATTGCATTTTAAATAAAAATACTTAAAGTATTTACACAAAAAAAGTTTAAATTAATTTTGTCATTATATGTTTTTCAAATTTTAGTATTGTAATAAGAAAATAATAATAAATAAAGTAAATAAAAATGTGTTTAATAAAAATAAAATGCCTGGAAATATAACTGTAAATATATGTACATCGTATATAGTTTATTAAATTATTTGAAATATAAATATTAGTACATTTATAAAAAAAGGGTGTAATATAACTTTAATGTTAATACTTTTAAGCAAAATAAACATCACGTCCATGTAAGATTGCAGAGATGAATATTTCTGATCTACGTTTGTAATGTAGTACGATTATATACGAATTACTAAGAGTGCTTTCCAATTGCAATATCCCTAGACACTTTCGTGCACATGGCGGCACAAGTTACGTTCCAATTGTCCGTTATCGTCGATACAACGCCTTGGTATCAATCATGAAACTTTATCCTTAGGATGGAAAGTGAAAAATGAAAAATTTATCCATTAATTTCAATGGTGACAATTTTCACTTTTCATTTTTCATTCTAGGGATAAAGTTTCATGATTGATACCTTGTACTCAGTCGAGGGCTGAGTATAAGCTTGTGTTTTCTAGTGACAATTACATATTACTAACTGCGACAGCTATAAATGAGGTTTGAAGACGTTAAGTGGCCGGCACTTTTATTTTTTTTTATTTAATACAGGCGGAAAAAGCTACATTTAATCTAACTCTATCCGAACGGATCTCAATCATGCACAGCGTATACATTCTGTTCCAATTGAATCGTGCACAATGATACACTTTGTGCATTCCTGTGTAGGTTTGTATTAAGATGTGTTAAGCAATTGGAAAGCACTCTAAATATCGATTTATTAGGTGCATTCAGAAGCACAATTGCTCACTGAGCTCTTGCATTTGATTGGCATATTCCATTAGATCTAAAAATGTAGACCAAACAGGTAAAAGAGCTCACTGAGCGCTCAGTGAACGATCGTGCTTCTGGATGCACCTATTATCTGTAGCCTTGAAAAGTAGATGTATATATGTACCCTCAGAAAAGTGGACCTATGTAGTTTACATCCATTTATCAGGCTGTAGTAGTGCGCGGCAGCATTTTGTGATTACAGATTTCGGGCCGTCATCTCTGGTAGTATCAATTAGTGTCCCTATAACAGAATCTGCACACTGCTGAAGTGATTGCTGATTGGTTCCGGCATTAACAGTTAACTGACGCTATCATTAATTTAGCTAATGGCAAGATAATCCTGGGAAAAAACGCAGCTGTCATTGGCTGTCACTAGTTAACGATAGCGATAATTGTCAATAAAATGTTTAGAGAATCCCGCAACAGCAGTATAGATTAGTATACACATTATACAGATATATCATTATATATAGATGATTGCAAGCATAGGATGCATTTGTTTACATAGCAGTTAGCGCAGAATATCATTTAATCCTTGTTTAACATTTGGTGAACAATAAGAATAAAGTAATATTTTTGCGTTAACTGCTGTATAAACGAATGCAGGGATATTGACACGCTGTCAAACATATTTTTGCTCGCTTGTATAGTGCAATGCATTAATTCGCTGGGTCATAGTAGTGGCCCGACTTCGAAAAAAAAGAAAATGCAGTACTAAAAAGTTGATAAAAAATTCTGAAAAAATTCTTAGAGTTCTATGAGAAAAAAATTAATGATCTTTGTCTCTTGCAGTTTTTCTATAAAGTTGACAGTATTTGAATAAAAAATAAACGTCGATAAGTCGGGCCGCTACTATGACCCAGCGAATTAATGCACTGCAGTGTACAATTCTATTCTACTTTATCTTTCATTTTGGATTATTTAAATAATTATGGATTATCCAAATAATTTTAATTCAACTCTATTGTTGAGTGTAACAGTAAGCAGTCATTTGTACGGCAAATACAGCGATACATTTCTGGTTTTGACTGTTAATAGTGGATGGGCATGCGCGCGAATGCAGTGTCCAGGCTTTGTTATAGGGACTCTAGTATCAATTACTACGCGTAGGCACGTGACGCGTTCCTTGGCAAATGGAGACTGGAGTAGCCTTCCGTTGAGCATGGCAATTGAGATACTATTCCGTTTTACCTTATTTGTCAAAAAGTGCTAAACCCAAGGTTGGTTTGGTCAAGACCATTGAGACCAAATTGGGACATTAAATCGTCCCACGAGATTCAGACGACGAATAATGGCGCACTGGTTTCACCGTAATGTGTTAAAAGCAACATCGAATCAGAAGTTTGAGTTAAAAGTCTCCAATCCTACGGACGCCACTAGAAAGCTTTGCAGGTTAGTATATTACTATATTGCGCATTTCGCGGTTACCACTTGTTGACGATGATTTTTTTTGGACCGCCAGAATGTTCAATAATTCTCATGTGAACATATAATTTTATTAAAAAACTCATATTTATATTATAATATTAGTTATTAATTATACTAGAATAATGGGATGTCAAACACACACACACACACACACACTTTCTTTCACATAAATATCTAAATCTCCTTTGTTTTTTGAAAAAAAAAATGAATTGATTCTTTCTCTCCTTTATATTAAGAGGCCTGCGTGTTTTCAGTGACTTAAAGCTGTCAAGAGCCAGACTGTTGGATCTAATAAAAAATGCAAACAATACCAGTGACACAATAGAGCCTGCGTTTCTTAGTTATCTGAGTTTGTTGTATGGATTTTTATGGGAAGTCAATCCATCCGAGGAAGAGGCTCAATATGTTGGTAGACCCAATCCTAGCAAGCTCAGAAATGTTCTCATGTTCAAGTGGACACACACATTACTTGGTGGTGGCACATTGTAAATAATTAAAAAGATATTTAATAAAATAGTTTTAAGAGTTTTATAGTATTTATGATAACAGATAACCTGTGAACGATTTCAAAATGATCTCTAATTACAAATTTTTTATTAAAGCTCTAGCGCCGATTCTGTTTATGAAGCAGCTAATATGAGTGTCAATGTAGGCCTATGGTTTATGAAACATGCGGCAATGATTGCTGCAAAAGATGAGTAAGTATAAATTAAACAAGATTTTAAAATAATCTTCAACTTTAAAAAATTATTATATGAAAATTATTATATAAAAATATAGAAGAAATGATCTATCTCTTCCTTTCTATTAATTATAATAAAATTCATTCATTTCTTTAATGTACATATTGTAATTGTATCATAATTACAGCATAACAATGAACGAGGCTAAAGAAGTACACAGTATACTAAGACGAGCTGCTGGAATATTTACCTTTGTACAGACTGAATTTTTGCCGCAGTTGGATAGTCCACCACCTTTGGGAAGTGATTTAGATCCTCGTGTACTAAATGCATACGTTAATCAATGCACAGCAGAAGCACAAGAAGGTTGTACTCGTGCGAAAATATAATTTTAATAAGTTTACTTGAATATACTTACATTGGCTCTTCATCATTTTATAGTGACAGTGGCTAGAGCAGTAGAGCTCAAACATAATTCTAGCTTGATATCAGCTTTAGCCAATGAAACCAGTAAATTGTTTCTGGATGCTGCCAATACTCTTCGTCCATTTAAGCCAGAAATAATCGCCCAATGGACAAAATATTTGGAGCTTAAATCAGCGTTTTATCAATCTTACGTAAGTTCACAAATTTATAAAAGTCGACAATCATTTAATTGTAAATACAATTGATAATATTTGTTATACTCTTATTTATTGCTTATTTACGCTTTGTAAACTTACTCATGCTCTAATTACTTTAGGCTTATAATTATTGCGGTGAAAACTTATTAGCAATGGATAAGTGCGGCGAAGCGATACGAGCGATGCAGGAAAGCGATTCATGTTTAAAAAAGGCGAAAGCACTCTGTCAAGAATACGGAAAAACGAACGGGCCTGCGCCTCGCGTTAAACCAGATCAGCACGCTGTATTTAGACGATTGGCGCCTATAGTGAAGCTTACTCTTGATAAATGTAATCGAGAAAATGGATTAATGTAATTATCTCATTTAGATTTATTATCAATTTATACATAATATAATACATTGTTTTAAAATGTATGACGCTTAAACAATACATTTATCTGAATTTAAATATTAGATATCATCATACAGTACCAGGTGAAATTCCAGCTTTGGATACTAAAGCTACTTATGGCTTAGTCAGCCCGATTGATTTCCAAATGCCATCACCAAATCCTATCTGGAATTTGGGTACATATAAAGTATTAGCCGGAGTAGCGGCAGCGAAAGCAGAAAAAGAGCAGAATTTGCCGCCAGTTAAAGAAGAGGTGATCCATCAAAGTAGTAAGGAGCCGAAAAACGCAAGCGGTTGCACGTTACAATAAGGCTTTCTACGTGTATTGATATAAGCCGTTTGTAAATGCTTTTTCTTTTTGTGTCACGGTGATATTAATTTTAATTGCGACAGACATGTGTGGGCGACGATCGAATTAAACATGTGTGCGCATCGTATGCACACAAGTACAAATCTGGTTGTGTGAAACATGAAGTATTAATTTGTTAGATAAAAAGAAGAATACAGGATCATTATCTGTTATCATAAATACTACAAACGTACTTCATTCAGTATTAAATATCGCGTTATGCAACGGATAGATAAACGACTGCAAAAGAGATTAATCTAACATATCAGTGTACATCTATTTTGTTCTGCACATGTCTGAAACTTTTTAGCAGGCATCTTTTACATTTGTGTCAATGTGAAGTAACATATGTGACGCGAGATTCATATGTAATTTGCTTTTATCGTAGATAATCGATACTATGACTATCATTGTAGGTACAAGCAACTCCTTGCCGACAGTAAGGAATTGTTAATGTCGCAGACATTATTTTAATCGCTACGTTTGATCTAGTCAATGCTTTAGTGAAACTAAATTTTTTTTAATTGGTAATGCGAGGAAGCGTTTTCGCAAATAATGTGCATTACCAGTATTATACATGTATTATAACAAAGAGGCGTATGTAATCTTTTTCTACATATTTTTTATAAGCTATAGGTTTAAATGCAAAATGTTCAATTCAAATTTTAAAGATATTATATATATA